GGATCAAAGGAAGATTCCCAGGATACCAACAATTAGGAACAGGCGTCAGAAACAACGTGCTCCAAGGTACAGAAGAACAACATTAACTTCCACGGCACCCCCAACCCAAATTTCTGGGTCACTTTATAACATTTTTAGAAACACCACTTCGTATCTGCTTTGAATAGTCCTATTAAAAAAATAAATCTTAAGCCAGGATTCAAAGAGCTGCTTGGGTCATACAAGAGAGTTTCTGGCAGTCAGAATAATGTTCTACTCTCTCCTTTTTGCCTTTGAACTCTGCATCATAATAAAAAAGCTGGTTGTTATCATTCCCTTCAGTTTCAAAAGCAATATGGCACATGGCATGGAGGCACTGCTTTCTTAAAAATAAAATAAAAAGTACAAGCAGTCCTATACATTTATACCCACCAGCAGATGTCCAAAGGTCTCCAGTTCCCTTAAATGATGCTAGCCATTTTTTCTTGTTGCCCCTTATTCTTGGAATGCAACTACTATTCTTGATTTCCTTTTTAATCCCTCCTCAAAACTTGGATTTTTTCCATTGAGCTTTCAGATTACCACCCTAGTCCTGGTGCCTTATTGCAGTTAAACCAGAATACATTCAATTTAAACATTCACATAACAATTGCAAATAAACTGTTATAATAAACTATTTTACCTAGTTCAAAACAGGATTGCTCTTGATCAAAACTATCTGGAAGGGATTGACTGGGTGGGTTCATGTGGTCATGGATTCTTCTTTGTGTGAAGGTGCCGGGAGCTGTAGCATAGCTGTTCCTTAAGAAGCCCTATTTGGATTCATGAGACTAACAACTATCACCTAGTTGCTGATATCCCCTTTTAGGGACAAGGTGCCTGAGAAGATGGTGGCCTGTTTCATCCATGTTCAGGGCTGGTTGGAACTGAAACAACCCTTGGTCCTCTGATGGTGTATGGAGAGAGACGGGGAGAACAAAACCTGCTGATTCTCCTGCATCTCTCCAAGGTTTTCGATGCTATCAATCATGGTATCTTGCTGGATCGATTCTGTGTTTCAACGGGAGTTGCAGGCATGGTGATATGATGACATAATTCCTACTTCCTGAGTCATTTTTAGAAAGTAACATTGGGGGACTTCTGCTTGGGCCCCAACAGCTGTGCTGTGAAGTCGTGCAAGGTGTTATTAATCGTGACTCCCATGCTCTTCAACATGTGGATGAAACTGCTAAGTAAGGTCATCAGAAGATTTGGAGTGAGCTGTCATCAGTGTATCATTGAAACACAGTTCTGTTTGTCATCTGAGTCATGTGAGGCTACGTAGGTGCTGGACTGGTGCCTGGGTTTGGTAATGGGCTCAATGAAGGCCAATAAACCAAGGCTGAATCCTGACAAGACGGATGTACTGCAGGTAGGTGGTTCCCATGTTCAGGAAGTGAGTGTGCAGTCTGTTCTGGACGAGGTCTTTGGGGAGTCCTGGATCTAGCATTGTCACTTGAGGGCCAGCTAACCTTGGTGACATGGAGGTGAAGATACACTGAAACATTTTGTTGCAGTTCCCTCTAATTACTTATGTGGTTGAGAACTTATCAGTGTGGAAGTGAAATGGGGCAGCCAAAAATAAAGTAGTGGCTTCTACATACTTGGGAGATATTCTAGGTATGCATAAATACACACTAATTAAAATAAAATGGCATTTTCCTTTAAATCCCAAAACTGTCTATCAGGAACCTGTAAGTGTATATGATGCCGATGACAGTTGGAGCTGCACAGAAACCAGATATCAGGCAGGCTACATGAGGGAGGGTCATAGCTCAGTGACAGAACATGTTATTTATGTGCAAAAGGTCTCAAATTCAATCCTCAAGGTCTCTAGGTAGAGCTGGGAGAAAACCCTGTCTGAAACCCTGGAAAGCCATCTCTAGTCAGCATGGACAGTACTGAAATACAGTGCAGATGTTTTAGACCACAGTTTCCACCAGTCCCAGACAGAACAGCCAATGGTGGCAGGGCCGTTCCACCCAAGAGGCAAGATGAGGCAACTGCCTCAGGTGGCAGGATCCACATGGGCATCAGATCCTGATGTAGATCTTTATTCCTTCCTTGTTATTGACGTAAATTTTAACTCACTCCTTCTCATGCCAATTTGTGATTCGCCTCTGATGTCAAAATGTCTCAGGTGAAGCCTAGATGATGGGAATTGTAGTCCAAAACATCTAGAAGGCAGCTGGTTGGAAAAGGCTACTTTAGTAGGTTCATTGCAGAGGTCAGATCTGATTGTGCACTTTGCCATTCACATAATAATACTGACCATTACTTGCATATATATACATTTAGGGTTTTACAGAGAAACTGCTCCAGTTGGGCTGGCATTCACACAGAACTCCTTGCGATAAAATACCACCAGAGCTTTGAGAAGTGTCACAATGAAAAATAGGTTTCATTTAGTAAAATAGATCAGCTACATGAAGATAGAAAATAAAAGGCAACCACGCTTGCTCCCCCACCTCGTTTAATAGAACGTATGGTTGAAGATATCTCAGCACACAAAACAAAATGAATATTTCTGTTTAGCACCACATCTAGTATATTTTTTAATGCAACTACAAAAAATATTTCTGAAAGCAGTCTGTTAAGCATTCATAAAGGTGCATACACTCGTAGCACACCCCTCTTATTCAAAAAGTCTTAAATTCAAAATATTCTACCTAAAATCAGCTGATATTTTATGCACAAACCTCACACCCCTGATTCACTTGTAAAAGATATATCTCCTAAACAAGAAGCTTTGAGCTTTCTAGTTTAGATTTCCTTTGGTTCCACTGACCAATTAACCTTTTGCCTTTCCATTTATGATTATATCTTTCTCTGTACATTTCAGCATGGAATAAGGCTATGCAGTGGATACAAGCAGCTAAAACACTTGAAACTTTGAGGAGCAACTTTTAATGAATTATGAAGATTATCAGTGTCACCCAGACCAGCTTTCTCACGTCTCATAAGCACAAAGCAAGGCGAAATCACTACTACAAGACGAACAAATGACAAGAGCAAGAAAGGTTTGCTGAGCAGGGTTTAGAGATCACCCACCCACTTATCTGGCGACACTATCGCTACTACTGCTGCTGCCACCACCCCCTTGATCTAATATTAGCTCAGCACCTTATTCCTAGTTGTCATCTCCTTAGCCACTGATCAGTTCCACACCTTTCAGCAAAAGGTTTCTGACCTCGGGAAAGCAGAAAAGGCACCTTCATTAATCCAAGATGTTCTCTCCAGGACTTAGTTCAACTCCCTTCCACAACCCACCGCTCGCCCTGGGAAAGTTGCATTCAATTGTCATTCCATTAAAAAAATTTTTTAGAGCTGTTGGCTCTGGATTTTGAGCGTTGCGATGTGTCCAAGGGAGTTTTGTTTCAGAATAGAAGAGGGCCCTCGTTGGAAATGGATTTATTAGCCACACAAGCAACAGCCTACTTCTTCAGGGCTGTAAATGCACAACAAGCCCGACCAACTCAGAAGCTGCAAAGGGACCCACAGCGAAGCCCCCAGAATGTTCTTCCAAATAAAACCCGTTTCTAGTCTAGACAAGAATGTGCGCCAACTGTTGCTCTTCGGACGTCAAGGGAAACTAAAGCCCTGCGACGGGTGGGTGTGGGGGGAGCGAGAGAAGAAGAACGACAGAGAAATTCGACCGTCTGAGGAGACATGAAACAGATCGCGCTGACTGGTGGAGAGCAGAGGGGGTAGAAAAAGGAATTTTCACTGTGCCAAAATAAATTAAAAAATCCGTGGGGGACGGAGAGGGGTTGCTAGCCCTCCCTCTCTCCTGTCACAGGAAGACCGAATTAAGGACAAAATGCAAGTCAAGCTGGACAAGGTCAAGCCAAAGGGAGCCCTCTTGTTTGTAGAGGGAGAGAGCTCTCCCTCGCGACCGTCCCCCCTGGGGCTCCCTCGCCTCATTGCGCGCCAAAACGCCCGCCTCTCAGGCCGACCTTCGCGCCAAAACAAAACCAAACACTCTCTCGTGCCCCCGAAGGCAGCTTCCCGTACCTGAGAGCCCCCTGCGCGCTTCGCTCTGCGTCTCCAGATAATCCCAGAGGCTGGGTGGGCGGGAGGGAAGCTGCTCTGCTGCTGCTCTGCTGCTGCTGCTGCTGCTGCTACCGTCTGCTGGTGGTGCTGCTGCTGCTGCTGCTGTTGCCGCCGCCGCCGCGCGCCCCTTGGCTGCGGCTTCAGCAGCGCCGGGCTCTGCAAGTTTCCATAAAAGTCCCGGTGCGCAGCCCGCTCCCGCATTCCAAGCGAGCCCCGGCCCGGCTGCAGCTGTCCCGACGCAGCACACGCGCGCCCTGGCCGCCCCCTCCTCCTCCTCTCTCAGCGCCCTGGACGCGCCGCCTGGGCCCCTCTCTCTGGCCCAGCCGGGTTATTTTAGGCTGGAAGGGCCGTCAAGCTATAAATACACCCAGGGACTCGGGGAAACTGGAGAATTCCCCCGGCCGTCCTGGAGGGGTGGGGGGCTCTGGCAAAATGAAAAGCGGGGGGTAATGGATATGAGGGGGAGAGACCAGGCTCTCATTCTGAGCCGGCGCTCATTCTGCGCTGCAAAAGTGTCCTTGAGCAGGTGCAGAGTGCATTTCCTCCAAGGACTGGTTGCTCCGGAATAAAATATTGGGATGGGGCAGGTAAGTCCCAACCCGCACAATCGATCACATGACACGACACCACACACAGTATTTGAATGGAAATGCCCAACGATTTTTTTTTGGGGGGGGGGCGGAGTTCCTCTGCTGAGGTCCAACATGGAAAACTCGTTTATTCTCCAAAAACACAGACCCAATTAATTATCAGCTTCCACCATGCCCTATATACTAGACTCCGTAGGGTCACCACCATCCTTCAACAAAGATGTCCACGTAAACAGGCATCCCCCCCCCAAAAAAAAATCAGTGTGTCATTCAAAACAGATCAGTTAGATCTAAAAGGCATTCATGCAGTCATTACTTAGCAGTGAGAAAAATACTTACTATCAGGACTTGAAAATGTATTTTTCCCCTTCTCCCTTCACGCACACAAGTATTTCTGGTCCAGTACTTTAGGCAGTACTTTAGGGCAGTGGATCAACTCCTGATAAGCTTCACTTTTGTATATTAGAAAAAAACTGTTCTGACTCTGAGATCCTGGTGGCTTTTTTATAGCTCTAAACTGACTGAGAGCAAGTAACTAATAATAGTAACTTACCAGATAATTGTAGCAGCCTGAAGTCCACTCAGTACCCTATCTATATGGGTGATAGCCAGCATTACTCATACTCAGAGTAGACCTACTGAAATAAATGTGGGTTTCTTTTCAATGGGTCTTTATGACTAAAGTATTTGTGTGTTCTGAATATTTTGCTAGTGTTCAGAATATAGGATCAGCCCACTATAAACATCAGCATTGTTGTTTTTTTGTTAAACTTGAATGTCATGCTTCATCTGAATAACACAGAGTGGTTCACAGCATAAAAATACAAAATGAAAACACAACATTTGTAATAAAACAAAAGCAAAACAAACCAATAGACCCCTCCTCCCACAGGCACATTTTAAATCTTTTCACACTTGCAAAGATGCAATTGTTAGAATTAATGCTTGAACATCCAGAATCATTTACTTCTGTTCCTGAATTACTTTGCAGAGTAGATGGCAGCAGAGAGATTTGATTGCTTTATTTTCCTGGACAAATAATGGGACTCTGCTATTCTTTCCCCTCCTTTCCATTCTGTTTTTCTCACACAAGACAATACACTGGGGGCAGCTATGAATATCTTATTCTATAGAAATAAAGAGGAATTTTATTTACTTATTTGTTCAAAAATATTTGATTCCTTGAGAAAGCAAGGTGGACAAAAAATAGTCAATATTCTTCCAGTTACAATGTGGACAGGGCTAAACACAAGGTTAAAAGCACATAACTCCAGGCTGCAGTGAAAACTACTAAACTATAGTGGGGCACATCCAAGACTCTTGCTCCTTTATCTGTATGAAAAGAGGAGGAGGAATCTTCTGTGTGTCGCATTACTGATTGTGGCATTTAACCCTGATTCCACTGCATATTCCACACTTCTAACCAATTCCCAGCTGAGAGATGCTGACTGAACAGCAGCAGTGCCATAAATGTGCTATAGCTGAAATTAACAACCTCCACTTCCCTTTCCTGCTTCAAGCTGACTTTGACCCATCTTCCTCTCCATCGACCTCAACTTCCACGAGTTCTATTTTCTCCTTGGTTCCTTGCTTTCTCCTTCTTTCCCTTGTCCCTCCCTTCCTCCCCCCTTATCTTTTGTTTAGACTACAGTAACCCTGCAACTTAACAAGGGGAGCTACATTCTGGGGATTGCGCTTGAAGCCAATTTTGCATATAGCCAAAACACATTGGGTTCAATGGTGGGTGGGATTGCCAAAGCCTTTTTTCCCCTTGACACCCATCACACCCATTTTCCTTTTTTTAATCCTTTTTTTTTTGCCAGGCATGTAAAGCTGAATGCACACAAGTTATATGTGCATAAGCTGCGGGCTTACTGTACTTGCTTTCTTCCATCATTACCTTTGTTCTCTGACTTCTGACTCCCACCTTATAGCTGTTGTCACTCACAGATAGCATTCTGCAGTGCCAATTTCTGTGAATGGAATGAGGGCGCAGCTGTAGAGAAGGAAGTAGCTCAGTGGTAAGAGCATCAAGGTAGGGCTGAGACAGCATCTCAGGTAGGGCTGAGAGCAACTCTTTGGCTGAAACCTTGGACAGCGTCTGCCATTCAGTGGAAGCAAGACTGAGCTAGATGAACCAGTGGTCTGACTCAATACTGTATAAGGCAACTTCCAATGTTCACCTATGTGTTGCCTACTGCTGTCGGCTCATCGTACCGGCTTTGGTGCACTTTCCCGTGCTGACTCATGAAACATTGGACAGGGAGATGGATAAACCTATTTGATTAATGTGTGCTGGGGGGTGGGGAACCTCAGGTATGGGGGCCAAATGCAGCCCTCCAAGTCTATCTGACCCTTGAGTCCACACATGCAGTCCATATCCAGGCCATGCTGCTCCCCTTGCTAACTCTGGTTCCATCCCCGTCCCCATGTATACTTTTGCCTGGCTGGAATTGTGCCCCTGTAAGGGGGGTGGGCGGCGCTGTGGGTTAAACAACAGAGCCCTAGGACTTGCCTATCAGAAGGTCGGTGGTTCGAATCCCCGCGACGGGGTGAGCTCCCGTTGCTCGGTCCCTGCTCCTGTCAACCTAGCAGTTCGAAAGCACGTCAAAGTGCAAGTAGATAAATAGGTACTGCTCCGGCGGGAAGGAAAACTGCGTTTCCATGCGCTGCTCTGGTTCACCAGAAGCGGCTTAGTCATGCTGGCCACATGACCCGGAAGGTGTACGCCAGCTCCCTCGGCCAATAAAGCGAGATGAGCGCTGCAACCCCAGAGTCGTTCGTGACTGGACCTAATGGTTAGGGGTCCCTTTACCTTTACCTTTAAGAGGGGGGAGGCGGTTACATCACATTTACTTGCTTGGATGGAGATGTACCTGTGTAAAAACACACATATGAATTGAGCATAGCTTGAATGTAGCCTGCTGTACAAAGGCAAGGATCACAACCATTGCTCCACAGACGCTGTTTTGCCACAATCACCACTGGTAGGCAGCTCCCAGCAAAGTCCCCATAATGAAACATGGCCCCTAGATTGAAAAACGGTCTTGTTTCTCCCCTTGCTGTATGCAGATATAGTTCCCCACATATTAGTAGCAGCATGAACTAGGCAGTTCAGAGAAACAGCTGCCAGCTAATTCTGTATCATGTTGACTTCCTCGCCCCCTGACTGTCACTATCGGCCTCAACTTCCATGATACATCCGAGCCATTTATTAAGATGAATATAGATGACCATGCCATGTTGCATACATGCACACTGCAAGTTAACCAGCTTGTAACTGGAATCAACCTAAACATAAGAATGTTGATGCAGAAAGTCTGTCACAACTCTTATTTCAGAACAGTGACTACAAATCCTCTAGGTTTCCTCCTTGACTGAATGAGAAATTGATTATTCAGGCAGCCTGAATAGAGAAAAAGTGGAATTTCAATACCGTATAATACCAGCCCTACATTTTCCCCAAAGGGGCCCATGACGTAGTGTACAATAATTTTTCTAAAATTCAAATTAAAATAAAAAAGGAAACATGAAGCTATTCATGATTTTTATATGGCATAGAGGGAAGAATGGATTGGGGTAAAAGAAGTAATAGATTAATTACTTCCCAAAGCCTCGGTGAAAGAAAATGGCTTTGGCTGGCTTCCAGAAGCTGAACATGCAGACTTCAGAGAGACCATCCTATGACCAAAAAGTTCTATTTCTAGTATAACATTTTTGGGGGTGGGGCACATTTTCAAACTGGAGAAATTGGCATGGGCAGCATGTACCCCCGCCAACCTATTGGCTGTAACACAATGCTACTTTAAAGTCTTTATTTCATCTGAAGAAGGGACCCTGCAGACACCAGGAACATGTGCACCCATGGAAGCCATGTTGGCAATACCAGCTCTAGTGAATGTCAGCCACAAGTACAAGCAAGTCACCTAGAGCAGGATTTTACCCAGATATCTTTGTAACCAAGGAGATTTGTAGAGAAGTCCCCTAAACTGTAGGTGTTTCAGGGCAAGACCAGCACCTCGGATTCAGCCCAGATACACAAAACAAAAAGCAACACAAAAAGCAAAATCATAAAATCTGCGTTAGGGCAATACGTTTTATTAAGCGAGTCCAAAATGTCACAAATAGTATGCAGACTTTCAAGTTGAACAAATAGTGTCGTTCTCTAGACATAGGCATAGATCACAGTATCTAAAACTGAATCCAGACAAGGCAGAAGTACCGTGGGCTGGTGGGACTGGTATTCAACCTGTTTTTGAACATGCCCACGGTTTCGTGGGAGGTGATATATATCTCTACAGCCTGATCACAGTTATCCATACACTGGTAATACAGTGGTACCTCGGTTTAAGAACAGTCCAGTTTAAGAACGATTTGGTTTACGAACTCCGCAAAACCGGAAATGGTGTCCCAGTTTGAGAACTTTACCTCGGTCTAAGAACAGAATCCGAACGGTGGAAGGGCACCAGCGGCGGGAGGCCTCATTAGGGAAAGCGGGCTTCGGTTTAAGAACGGTTTCGGTTTAAGAACGGACTTGCAGAACGGATTAAGTTTGTAAACCGAGGTACCACTGTATCAGTTTAGATTACTGTGGGATGATAGCTTTTGAAGACTGCTGGATGTACAGTTAATGCAAATCATGCAGCAGTTATGTAAGGGGACAGGCTTTGAAAGAGTTAAATTGGCTTCCGATCCATTTCTGAAGAAAGTGCTGGTTTTGACCTAGAAAGCCCCAAACAGTTTAGGGCCAGATTACCTTTTCCTGCAAGCGAAATAGGATTCAGATCAGCATCAAAGGTCCTGCTCCAGGTTCTGCCACCCTGTGAGGTGCAGCTATGATAACCAAGAGTCTTCTCTGCTGTGTTTAAAATCCACACCCCTCCCCCCACAAGAGCTTCACCTGGTGCAATCTTCCTTCTCTTTCCAGAAGCAGGTGGAATCCTTTCATATGTCCAGGCCTTCACAATGTTTTACTGTAGTATCATTTTATTCTGATATCCCATTTTATGGTTGTATTATGCAAGCTTAGATGTGAAGTTTTGCTTTTTCTAAGAGTCACTTCGTAAACTGAACCCCAGAATTTTCAAAAGAGACGAAGACAAAATTTAAAATGACGGAAGTAACATGTATTTAAGTCTGTTGCATGATTATCGTTTTTGACATAACATTCCCCCTCCCTCAAAAATATACTTTAAATGATACATTCAAACAAGACAAGATTCTAGCTTATTCACAACTAGTAAAAAGTTTTAAAAGCTCTCTAAAGGTGCGAGGGGATTCAACCAATTATTACATTATTTAAGAGCATTCTTTAAGGCCTCCCTAGACTGTGATTTCCAATGTAAAATATCAGTGAAGGGTAATTTACATAAAAATATGAACTTCGTACTCTATTATTATTTTTTGTTTAAAAAAAAAAAGCTTATAGAACGGCATTGCTGCTCACAGGCTGAATGCACCGATTTATTTCGCTAC